AACTTTTATGTATACTCAAACTTGTCTGTTACACCCTTTCACCATCACTTGGTGTTAATTTCCATTTTTTTTCCTTTTTTTTTTCATTCTTTTTATGTACATATATTTTAAGTTTTTTTTGGAAGGAAATAAAATTTTTTAACGGCACTAAAAAAGCATTTTTTTTTTTTAAAAAAAAAAAAAAAAAAAAAGTTTTAAAAAAAAAAATAAAAATAAAAAAAAAAAAAAAAAAAAAAAAAAAAAAAAAAAAAAAAAAAATTTTTTCAAAAAAAGGGGTTAAAAAAAAAAAAAAAAAAAAAAAAAAAAAAAAAAAAAAAAAAAAAAAAAAAAACAATAATATGGGTAATGGATAAAATTTAAAAATATATGCATATTTCTTCGTCTTCTTATCCTTATGTAGAGCGGCCGGAGCAACTTCTAATACATGTTTTCTTTTCTTTTTTTTTTTTTTTTTTTTTCTTATGATTTCATTAGTCACTTTCTGTATTGTCGCTACTTTGGATTCCTTCTCCATTATGAACCACCTCGTTTTTTTCACTCTAAATCGCTTCATTTTCTCCACTCTGAACCGCTTCATTTTCTCCACTCTGAACCGCTTCATTTTCTCCACTCTGAACCGCTTCATTTTCTCCACTCTGAACCGCTTCATTTTCTCCACTCTGAACCGCTTCATTTTCTCCACTCTGAACCGCTTCATTTTCTCCACTCTGAACCGCTTCATTTTCTCCACTCTGAACCGCCTCGTTTTCTCCACTCTGAACCGCCTCGTTTTCTCCATTCTGATCACCTCCCTTCTTCTTGTTCTTTTTTTTTTTCTTCTTTTTCTTTTTCTTGTTTTCATTTTTGTCATCCCCAACGCCCGGTGTCTCGCCTATTTCTCTTTTGTATATTTGCTCCGCCTCGTTCATGTAGTCGATATTTTTGGAAAGTTTGACCCCCTTGACCATGTGCATAATTTTATGTTCCAATTGCTTTTTGAATATAACCCCGTAGGTGTTGGTGGGATGGTCTGAAAATGAATCTATTCTAGCTGCCATTGCGCTTTTGCAAGACAAATATCTGGACATTCTTCCCTTGAGTGGTAATGGTGTTTTTGAAATGTAGGAAGAATTGTAAAGAATACCAAATTTGGGTGTTCTTTTATTTCCTTTTAGAGAATTAAATAGTGCTTTTTCTGATCCAAAAATTTGTATACTACTAGATGGGCATTTTGCTAAATTTACAAGAGATCCAGCGTGACTAATTAAACGGGCACTTAAAGTATTTCCCAACAATTCCTTCAAATTTGGAGAAACGATATTTAATTTTTTATCTAAATAATTCCATAAAATATTTCTAGTATTTGATAAATTAATAACTTCATTTGAAAAATTAATTATATTATTTAAGTCTTCTTCTGTTAATTCTTGGCCAATGGATAAATTTGCTACTTTTTCAATTTGTTCTGTTAATTTTTCATCTTGTGTAATTTCATTTATTTTTTCTTTTTCTCCTTCATCTGAAAAATCAAAATTTTCTTTTATTTTTATTAAATTAACTAATTTGCAATACATGCACACATCTGTTACAATCTTTTTTAATTCTGGAAAATGCCAACTATACCATTCAATAACTCTCATACTGAACAAATTAATATTCTTATCCAAAGATTCTATAGTACCGATACTGTTAATAATAGATTTATCTTGCTTTCTGGGATCCAACTTAAGTTTAGATCGGGAATAGCTATGACCTAGTCCTATATTAAAATGTTTTATATCAATATCTGCATTATTCTCTACATATGTTGATATTTTTTTCAAATAAAATTCTCTACAAGCTCGAAATAATTCTAAAATATTATTATTATGCACAACATTAAAACCAATGTTTGATAAAAATTTCCCCAAGTTTAAATCTGCCACACCTAATTCATATTCCTTTCTATTATTTGGTAAATTTTGTTCTAAAAATGTTAGTAAAAAATCCGTTGCTTTCCCTTCATTGATATGTAGTAAATTTTCCAACGCTCTTTCAGCTGTTTCGAATGATATGAATGAACAAAATTCTACTATTTCATGAAATAAATCAGACTTTTGAATCTTCTTCTCAAGGTTCTCGTTATTTCCAATTTGTTCCCATTCCTTTACTCTAAGCAGGAAGTATCCTGCTGAGCATTCGAACAGTATGTACAGTTGATTCATTTCGATTTCAATCTGGCAATTGAGGTATTTTACCCAGGTGTCAAAAAATGTAGTAGGGGGGGGGCTGTTTTAACGGGTTTTGCAGTAGCCTTGTATGTATGCACACATATACATATGTACATGCATAAATGTACGTATATGTGTATGTTTGGATTACTCCATCGAAAAACTTTGCAAAAAAAAAAAAAAAAAAAAAATTTCTGAGCGTCCTTCACACGTCCTTACTCACTGGATAGCACCACCATATAATTCATGGGAACGGAACATGCGATACAAATCAATTTTCAAGACTAACTTTGCCCTTTTTCTGATTTACATATTCGTCTAGCGAATGGGCAAATAATATATGACCACGCGGGGGACAAATGGAATTAAAAAAAAAAAAAAAATAATGAAATAAGTGTCAGTAGAGGTATAAGAATGCATATAAATGCGCATATATATATATATATATATATATATATTAAGCGTGTTCAAATTAAATGACATGCTTTTTCGCATATATATAAACGTAAATATACGTATGTATAAACGTAAAACAGGGGGGGGGAAAGGAAGAAAAACTACTCTGCGATTTGACAACAAAACTGTAAGTAAATAACCTATTTAGTGATTGTAGCATTTTTGCAACATGCCATGGGTAGTAGTATATATAATGCCACGAATTATTATCTTCTAAAGGTTCAACAACAGCATATCTTGGCGATTTTTTCCTCACTATTTTTAAATTACATATTTTTTCCTCTTCTCTGTAAACATTTAAACACTGTTAGGGTTCTGTTCCACATAATATTTTGGTTACATCACTTTAAAGTAAATAAGGAGGGAGGGAGGAATGAAAAAAAAAAAAAAAAAAAAAAAAAAAAAAATCCGATATATTTTTTATGCCTATGCATATTTTTGCGTTGAAACATTTAAGTTGTAGTAGTTGTAACAAGTTACTAATTTTGTGGATTTTTTTCTTTTTTTTTAAAAGTTAATAGGAAAATATATATATATATCATCAGCTCCTTTAGCTTACGCCATCCCACCCACCCCAAAAAAAAAAAAAACAGTCATGCTACTGCAAAGGAAAAAAAAGAAAAAATTATTTTCCATTTTTATTAGTACCTGTGCGGAGCAAGCTCCCTTAATATTTTTTTTTTTTTTTTTTTTTTTTTAAAAAGCAGTTTTTCTTTTCTGTTGTAAAAGGAGCAGTTATATGGGCAACATGTTGTAAGAGTTCAAACTGCTCATATGTATATGTGTATTTAATATATATACACATACATATATATCTATATTTTTGCATATGCGTCTTTTGGGCTAAATAAAGTGTTATCATAATGTTTGTGTGTGCCTTTTATATGCAACTGATTCACTTGAGTTACTTCACTTTTTTTTATTAATTTTTTTTTTTTTTCCTCTTTCTTACGGATTTGTATTTTTCCACACGTGTAGCTACGATATTTTCATAATCTGCACATCCTATGTGGTTCCTAGTGCCTTAACTATTTAACACATTAATTTTATAACATGGTTAAGTTGAGATTCAAAATCTCACAAGAGAAAAATGGAAAAATGTATGCAATAAGACTATATATAAATGGCAAATTTCATACTCATGAGGATTATCATATCTCGTGTGTGAAAATGGCAGTATGTAAAATTATGTTTGAAGGATAGATATTCATTTTAATCAAATTCCTGGTTCAGGGTTAAATAGGGCCCAGGAAATGTAATAAGGCAAAGACAAGTTCAATGTTGGAAGTTCAATGTGGAATCGAAAAAATAAACTCGTGTATAAAAAAGAAGGGGTTGAGTTTTTCTTTTTTTTTTTTTTTTTTTTTTTTTTTTTTTACTCCTTTGTATTAGCAGCAAAACATGTACACATTCTGTGATGCATGTATTAGGACCACGCCCATTTTTAAAGTAAAATTATTTTCTCGACCACTATATCCCTGGAAGGTTGAAAAAAGTTGACCCAAGATTATTTACATACACATTAAAATTAGGAACAGTGGCACGAATCACATTTAGTACATGTACGTAGTAATGTGCTTATGTGAAAACTTGTGCACAATGTGTATATTTTTGAAGTATCCCCTTGGGTTCTAAATATGGAAAGAAAAAGCACCTTTTCGATATTTCGAACGAATTTGTTCATATGTTTTCTTACAATAGTTTCAGAAAGAGAATACAAAATAGGAGTTACCCTTCTGTATTCATTAAGTTGTTCTTGCCTCACACATTTACAATGGGGGTGGACATCATGGGATGTGTTCTCGTAAGTATATATCATATATCACGTAAAACCAACAGATGCACACCTTCCCCCCATGTAGATATTGAGTAGTGAAGGAGTAAAATATGCAGTAAGCGACATCTTAGCAGATGTCGTGAGATGCACACGCGCGCCATTTTCACAAGTGTTTTTTTTTTTTTTTTTTTTTTTTTTTTTTTCCTTTAAAAATTATTCTTCTACTCTCTTGTGCCTACATAAGATACTTTTCTTTTTTCACATAACACAGTCCTCTCATCCTTTGCATGCACTTCCTTTTTAAACGAATACACTAAACATTGCACTCATTGCAAGCACGAAGTTTATTCTACATTTTATATATACATATACATATACATATGTATATTTTTTTTTTTTTTTATGCGTATATATTTTTCATTTTTTTACACATGCTGATTTTTCATTTTTTTACACTTGCTGATTTTTCATCTTTTGTATACTTCTCTTTTTTCATCTTTTGTATACTTCTCTTTTTTCATCTTTTGTATACTTCTGTTTTTTCATCTTTTGTATACTTCTCTTTTTTCATCTTTTGTATACTTCTCTTTTTTCATCTTTTGTATACTTCTGTTTTTCCATCTTTTGTATACTTCTCTTTTTTCATCTTTTGTATACTTCTGTTTTTTCATCTTTTGTGTACTTCTATTTTTTCATTTTCCCTTTTTCTGCGCGCCCCCTACACCCTTTTTGTGACAAACAAATTTAATCACTTTTACATTTAGTGACAGAGGAACACTTAAGTACGCAAATAATAACCTTTGGAAACTGACAAGCCAGTATAGAAAGCCCAAATTAAATTTAAAAAAAAAAAAAAAAAAAAAAAAATAGCTAATTTTTCTCAATTGGCATAATTGAAGGAGTACAATAAAATGGGCGTCCAGCATCTATTAGATTCTTACTCAGACGAATGCTCATTCTACGCACAAATTTATAGCTAAAGTTGAAATTAAGGTGAAAAAAGTGGGGGGAAGGCAAAATAGATGTAACCCTCAAATTGCTAGAAGACTTAGGAGACATCCCCAAAGCGTGATAAACACATGATAGATAAAAATGCAATCCTTGTAATACACACCTGCGCGCACCAACTTAAGTAGTGTATTCCCCAAGTGTATATAATATGTATGAATACATAAGGAAACGAATAAATAAGGAAGCGAATAAATAAGGAAGCGAATAAATAAGGAAGCGAATAAATAAGGAAGCGAATAAATAAGGAAGCGAATAAATAAGGAAGCGAATAAATAAGGAAGCGAATAAATAAGGAAGCGAATAAATAAGGAAGCGAATAAATAAGGAAGCGAATAAATAAGGAAGCGAATAAATAAGGAAGCGAATAAATAAGGAAGCGAATAAATATATACATATGTATACATTTTCTCTACACATATATGCCTGCATATTCAGAGGTACACCTTGAAATTGATTTTTTTTTGATAAAAAAAAAAAAAAAAAAAAAAAATAGAAACTGCTGCGGATTTGTGGATGAATTTCATCACAATTCCTTCGACACAGTTGTAATAACATTTACAAATCAGCAGTAGATACTACACAGTTGTAACTGGCCTGTCATTACTGATCCCAAGACATTGGCCAACACACGCACTTATAAGAAACACAGAGAAACACTAAGAACAATTCTCAGAATCACATCCATCATTCCTCCTTGAAAAACACGCAATGGAGGACGAAGAAAAATGCTATTACATAACAGAAAAGGGAAGAAAACAAAACTTCAAAAACATAAAGCTTATAACATTTGACCTTGATCATACCATATGGAACATTGATAGTTTATTAAATTATGCAGACGCTGAATGCTACAAATACATGAAGAAAAATTACAAGAGATTGTATGATTATTTACAAGAGGAATACGAATTGTCTATTACAAATTTGGTGAAAGAACTCCTTGAAAAAAATGTAGATGTAAACAAAGATGGGGTTCAAATACTAACAAGAATCCGAGTAGATGCATTAAAATATTTAGCGAAACAGACTAATTATGATGAAATTAAATTTTCATCTGAAATACAAGAGTTATGGAAAGAGAAAAAAAATCACGTTCATTTATTTATTAGTCCTGGAACATTAGAATATCTAAGAGAGTTAAAAAGTAGAGGCTACATCTTAGGAGCAATAACCAATGGAGATTCAGATGTTAATGCAATTAAATTTTTAAATGAAATCTTTACATTTGTAATTAGATCCATGGATTATAATTATTCAAAACCAAATGTTGAAATATTTAATATTGCTGAAAATATTCTAAAGAAACAAAATTATAATTTTGACATTGATCAATGGTTACATGTAGGGGATGATCTATACACTGATATTATGGGAGCCAAAAATAAAAATATAAATTGTGCATGGATAACTATGTTTAGAAATGGAACTGAAATTCCACCAAATCAATGGTATTCTTACTTAAAATTGAAACTTGAAAAAAATGGTGACACGAAACTTACACCATATGATCCCTTTTCTGATGGGTTATTTTCCAGATTTAGAAAAAGGAATGTCGCTATTCCATACGAGTACATAGATATAGAAATACGTCATTGTAGAGACTTGGATGTAATTCTGGCATGATTTTCTTGACCCCACATTTGTGTCTTCACAAATAGGAACACTCATAATATATATGGCTTTGTCATGTGGTGTGTGTGTGTGTCTCCTTTCCGCTAGATCCACGTCTACGCAGTATGTTCATACGTACATGTATGTATCTAGGTAATGTGTAGCATGCTACATAGATGTGGATCTAGTGGAAAGGAGACACACACACACACCCTCCTCAATTCGGTTAACCCATCTTGCACCCTCACTTTTGTTACGCATTTTTGAAAATGAACCATTTTTCTACTTCACACGTGGAATATATATAAATATATATATGTATGTATGGATGTATGGATGGATATATGGATGGATGTATTTTTTTTTTTTTTTTTTTTTTTATGTATCCCACTGAATTTTACGGGTATAATATTACGCTTGCAACATTATTCTATAAATTTTCTTTTAATTTTTTTTCACAAAAATGTTCAAGTTAAGATTGGTTTGTTAGAATCTGCATGGTGCTACATATGGATTCGGGAGGTGTGGTGAGAGCGACAATGGGTAGAGAAGCCGCAATCCCGATGTAGAGAGAATTTCTCTGTCCTTTTTTAGGAACCCAAAGTAGCAAACAAATAAAGTGGCTCTATATACCTAAGTTGAAGAACAGTATCCATTAAAAAGGACGAATTCTGTGCCAAGTTTCCAGTTTTTTTTTTTTTTTTTTGTGCAAAAGAATGAGGCATAAATACACATTTATGGGAAATATTTATGCATATAATTCATCGTCCCCCCACCCCTACATGGGATGAAAGCGCACACTAAGATGTTAAGACACGTATGATTAATATGTGAAGTATGTTCAAACATCTATGAATGAATACACACGTCACTAGGATTGGTGCATCTTCTCTAGTGATGGAGACAGTGTGACGAAACAAATGGAGTGTTAACTGTCAGAGTAACCTGGATAGCTGTCGTCATCAGAAAATACAGAACATGCAGAATTACTGGACGAGGCGGAGCAATCGTCTTCCTCGTTTTCTTCCTCGTTTTCTTCATCAGCTTCTTCATCAGCCTCTTCTTCATCCACCTGGGCAGAGTTCACAGATGGGACGTGTGCGCACGGGTCTAGACCGAATTCGGGAGTGCCTTCACCAAGTGCAGCAGCAATATCAAAGGTTTTCAAAAAATAGAATAATTGTGAAACACTTAAGTGACAAATCGGACCAATTTTAACATCCCTTCTGAGATTGGTTAGAATTTCTTCCATTCTATCTGAACAGCAGATAATACACAAAGTAGAACCAATAAGAGTATTAGTTTTATCAATTTTGAAATTTACAATTCTGGAAAGGTATTTGTAACAAACGGTTTTTAAATCTCTTGTTGTCATATTTTCAATTTGGGTTAATAAATTATTATAAAAATTTAAATTTAAATTTTTTATACTTAAAAAAATCGTCTGCGAAGCTCTATCTGAGACAGTTTCTTGATTATTAAATATTGTGTAGTATGCACTACTTTTAGCAATAGAAAGTTCTTCTGGTTTCATTTCATTTTTACAATAATAATCGAATATTTTTAATGCTTCTTTTAACGCGCTAATTATATCACTAGATCTGTATATACGTAAACTTAGTTCCCCATGGATGGCATTCAAATCTAAAGCACATTCATAAGCAAATCCTCCACCACGTATACTATTATATAGTGGCCCTTCTGTCATACAGAAAAATTCACGTATAAGCAATAAAGCACAATAGTCTTTGTCTTCATAACCTGATGGAACTTTAATAGTCATCTTTAAATAAGAAACATCTGTGCTTTTCAAACCACAAAGAACACCATTATATGCTTTATCTTTCACTAAATTATATTTGAAATTCTTATCTTCCTTTTCAAATTCTGCATCTAAGTGTTCCTTCAAGCTTTTGTGAACATTGGGTCCTAGACATATGTACTTGTCCGTGACTTTTTCTCTTCTCTCCTCAAATGGGCAGGCAGATGCGCCACTTTTACTTTTTTCATGGCTACCTCGCTGGTTCTGCTGTTCAGGCGTCTGTCCCGGACTCTGCGTCTGCCCTGGGTTCTGCTCCTGCTTGTCCTGCTTGTCCTCGTCCCGCCCCTCCCTCAGAGCAGAATCACTTTTGTCGAAAACAAACTCCGTATGTGGTGCGTTTACTGTGTAGCTGGATGTGTGTGCATCGAGGGCCCCTTCCACGTGGGAGGTGCTGAACCAACGGTCATACCAAGAGAACACGTTCTCAATTTTGCTAAAATTTCCATCAATAACAATTACAAAGTTCTTCAAGTGGAAGAGCTCATTTTTTAGCGTATTCAATTTGTTGTAAAGTTGAGTTAAATTATTTTTATCTTCTATAAGCTGAAGAATCATTTCTTGTTGCCCAATCGAAGCAATTCCAGAATTGCTACCTTTGAGATATCGAAGTGCATATTCTAAATTGACCACTAACGTTTTTGGCTTTGTTTTCTTTTGTAACAAATTTTGGTAAGCGGACTTTAAAATAATTTCCATTCTCTCTATGGTCAAATTCATTTTAAATATAGATAAGAATAATAAATCAAATAATTTTTCATAATGTTCATATAGACCAACTATTTGTATACATAATATATTTCCTAAACTTCCTGCTCTAAAATTCTTTGCATTTCCTCCTAATCCATAATCACAACAGTAGTTAATTGTATGTCTAATTAATTCTTCAGTAAACAATTCACATTTAACATTTCTTTTGTTTACTTCTACATCTGTTTCGAAAAGCATGTAGCTTAGAAGTGGTATATACTTTTTCAACTCCTCATCAACTTTGTTTGAGTTGATTAGTACATTTATCGACACAAAATTAGATGGAATGTTGCTTAGCTGAATTGGAAAAATTATTCTTTTCAGGTCTTTTTCTAATACCTTCAAGAGGTGGGCATTTTCAACGGACACATCATTATCTGTCTCTTTAACGAAAGGACTAGATGTTTCATCACGCTTTTCCAATTTTGTCACGCTTACTTCCTTCATTTTGTGTACTTCCCTCGATCCATCATTTGGTTTGTGTTCATCTACATGCTGTAAGAGAGAAAAATTGCGAAAAACTGTAAGTCCTTCAATAAACACATTTTGTGGCTTCGCGGAATCTACCACATTAAGTGAACTTTTGGGAGGTTTCTTATCAAAACCTTCTTTAATCTTCTTAATATGTTTAACCATTTCTTTCAATTTTTCTTTTCCATATTTCTTTTGTTCACTTTCAATTAAATTTCTTTCGAAGATTTCAATTTGTTTTGCTTTTTTATAACTCGGATAACATCGCACTTCAACATAATTATTTTCGACAAAATATTTTCTCAAAACTTCCTTCCAGTATTCCTCATCCTTTTTTAACAAATCCATATATGTCTTTTTCAAGTTTAGACAATTATTTAAATCATCTTTACTTCTCCCATATATAAAGTACTTAATAATAAATTCGTTTAGAAGATATTGTGGTGTCATCTCCAAATCTCTCAAGTGTTGTAGGTAAGATCGCACAATGATGTTCCTCAGCCTTTCCATATTTAGTGCTTCATCTAGAACTTCCTTCAAGCACTTTCTCGTTACATCTCCCACTTCATTCATTTTGACGTCATACACTCGGTCGGGCCCTTTCACTTGAGGCTCCACTTGCTGCTCCTCCACTTGCTTCTCCCCTTGCTGCTCGCCCAGTTTCGATGCACGATTGCTAGCTCTAAATTTATATGTCACGTCATAAATGTCGATGGTGAAGTAATTTTCCTTCAAGTCCTCAAGTGAAAAGTCTATGCTACTACAATACGTATTTTCTTTATCTTCCAAGAGACGCTTACTTACTGGGGAGGTTGTCAAATCGGTTAAGTAGTTCCCTAATATGGATATGGCCAACTTGGTTTGAAAGTCTGACCATTCACATCCTCTCCATGCGATGCATACTTGCCCATTGTTCAGGTTGTTGCATGGGTAATATTTTTTTACAATTCTGGAATCTGTTCTTTTTTCCACGTTGCATTCTTTGTTCCATGGTCTCTTCGGATTTTGTATTTGTTGTATGAACAGTTCCTCGCAGGTGTGCCCAGTTGCATTCACCTCCGCTTCCACGTTTGTCGAGATTGCCACTTCTGCTCCTCCTGTGGAGACTTCCGCTTTCTCCCCCTTGCACTCTGGTGGCCTCAATACCTGGGAAGGGTTCAAGCCCAAGTGATACTTCTCAAATTCGTGAATTATATCCAATATATGGTCGTTCTTGAAATTTCCAAAAATGATAATGGCAAAATTGTCTAAGGTGTAAAATTTTTTAAAATACTCCCTGACTCGATGATTGTTTGTATTTCTCAACCCATCCAACGTTCCACCCGTCTCGAATCGATAGCCACTTTTTTCATTTGGATACAAATTAGTAATAACAGTTCTTTCAATTATATTTTCGCAATTATTTTCTATTGATTTCATCTCAGAATAAACCACTCCATTATGAACTCCATTTTCAAATATATGATGAACTTCTGACAAAAACATATCATCACCTAATGTTGGATTCAAGATGAAATCCAAATAGATGGGTAAAATATTACTAAATCCTTCAATTCCAAATGTTTCTATAGTATAACAAGTATGATCTATAGATGTCCATGCATTAGTTCCTTCAGATAAACATTTATAAGCTAATGAATCTAGTAGTCCTTTGTGTGGATATTTATGGCTCCCTAAAAATATCAGATGTTCTAATGTATGAGGTAACCCTTCGTCATTTTCTGCTTCTGTCAGTAGGGTGAAATATCCATATATTTTGGGGCTCTTAATTTTATTCAAGATTATTCGTAACCCAGACTTGTCAGAGTAATACTCTTCAACTGTCAAATCTTGCTCCAGCAGTACGTGGTTTACCCTCTGGTAGTTATGCATGCTGTCCATACGTTAGTCAATTCTTTTACACGTTTGTGTGGATAAGCACATGTGTCTTGATGCAGTAGACACATTCAACTTCAACCCCTTTGGACCTTTTAAAAGGTAAGCAAGGGAGGGGGAGGAGGAATAACCGTGATACCCTGTGTCACTATATATACCCTTTCGAAATTCTTTTCCTAACTTCAACTTGTATGTGAAAATGTATATATCCTGTGTGAATATACCTGTACAGGTAAAAACACGCCTACAGTGAGGACTTACTTTTTTTGAGTAGCACAAATGCGTACTTTTCGCACAATGTACAAAAAGCGAAGGGAAATTTTTTGGAACTGTTATAAATATGCACACACTAAGGTTGTGTCTGCTCATGTGATAACTTCCGTTAGCTTACATTAGATAGGCTTCATGTGAGCATGATGCTTTTTGCATCCCAATATTAACATATGTTCATAAGAAAGTTCATTCGGGCCTTGATATGATTCATATCCTCTCATTTACACGAATGGGTCCCCATTCCCTATACAATTCGTGTGCATACGCAAAAGGTGCAATACGCAAGGAATGCGCTCTGGCAATTTTGTTAGATTATAAAATTATAACAAAATGAAAAAAAACGTCAACGTTTGTCATAGGGACTTCGACAGGGAGAAGAAGTTTTTCTTTAAATCGAATGTGACTTGTTACTACATTGGGAATGTTCAACATGTTCTTGTTTTTGTTGCTGTTACTGTTATTGTTATTGTGTATTTGTTTTTGTTACTGTTATTGTGTATTTGTTTTTGTTACTGTTACTGTTCTTTTTTTTTTTCTTTTTCTTTCTTTTTTAAGAAATTCAAGGTATTCATTACCATTTTGCATAACATTGTTAAAACCTATAAGGCATGTAAAAAATATGTTGGAGTAGGCGGACGAGCACCATTTCGATGTTTGGTACGCGTTATCACAAGGGATATGTTCAATAATTAAGTCGTTTTTTTTTTTTTCATTTTATTTTATTTTTTTTTTTTTCCTTTCTACATCATTGTGATATATGTTCAAAAAAAAATTGGTGCAATAAAAGAGAGGGGGTGGGGTGGGGAAGAGAGTAAGATTTTTTTTTTTTTTTTTTTTTTTTTTTTTGTTATTTCTTTTTTCTCCATCATTTTTTGTGCATTTTCTTGTGCCAGTTGTTTGTGCTTATTATCCCTTTTGCAGCTCTCTCGTGTTAGAGGAAAAGGGGATAAATTTACAAATTTGATCGTGCACATCCGATGTGTAAATTCGAATTAGAGCTACTACAGAAGAAACAATGTGTATGTTTTCCCTCTAAACAGCTATGATTATCCTTTTGAACTTTATTTTGTTTGCGAAAAGGGTGGGGAAAGTGTTATGGAATCTCATGTAACTTTTTTAACAAGTGTTAATTATGATAGTAACTCTATGTGAAGATCGATCATTAGGACTTTCACACGCTCTCAAAAAAAAAAAAAAAAAAAAAAAAAAATAAAGAAACAAAGAAACAAACAATGAAACAAACAAAAAAACAAACAAAGAAAGAAACAAACAAAGAAAGAAACAAACAAAGAAAGAAACAAACAATACTATATGTGTGTTACTCCCCATGTGTTATGATAACAATTTATCCAGTACCATTACATTTTGAAATGACAGACGCAGTTATATTTGTTAGCCAACAAGTAGGACATTATTGTTCTTTCGAACCATACCATGAAAAAAACTTTTGTTTACGAGCTTTTCCTTTATTAGTATACCAAATGTATGGATAAGCCGAATATAAATATTCACAATTTTTTTTTTTTTTTTTCTTTTTTCTACCAAATAATCATTTTATACATATATATATTTTTTTTTTCCTTACAAATACAACACTTTTTATCATCTACACAGTGTAGGAAATGTGCAATGTTGTGGTGGAACTATTCCCACGTTTTGTGCCATTATGTTTATTTTTTTTTCTTATCTTTTAGTGTCCACTATTTTACTCTCCTTAAGTGAATGAAAACGGGACGAATCAGGCAATCCTGTGGACACACATATATGTGTAATGCTCTTGTTCGTGTTCTTGTGTTCTTGTGTTCTTATGTTCTTATGTTCTTATGTGTTTTATTTTTTATTTTTATTTATTTATCTTTTTATTTTTGCCTCCTTACTCTTTTCCCTTAAGGGAACACATTTTTGTTGTGTGTGAGTGCAGCCCTACCAGTATCCGTACATCCCCATTTGCCTTCCTTCTAATTTGGTGAAATTATACATGCTAACAGTATAATGTAATACCCCCTTAACTCGGTAATGGAAAAACGAAAGGAGAAAATCAATAAAATTAAAACCACCTTAACGGCAATAATTTTTCATAAAATTGGGCTATAAAGATGTAAAAAAATTATGATCACATAAAAAAAAAAAAAAAAAAAATTTTTTTTGGCTAGACAAAAATGGATAAATCTAACTTTTGTTAAAATCTTTCGACGAAATTATTTTTATATGATGTTATGTTTAATGTAAAACATCATAAGCTTCTCATTCTTTTGTTGTCATACATAAAAATGATCGATAATGGGGAAACCATACAAATGTGTTACATACGCAAAGACTATTTTTTTTTTTTTTTTTTTTTTTATCTTGTTTCCCCCATTTTTTGCTAGCGGAAATTATCTACAAAATGTGAACTATCAATTAGGCTACTTTGTAGAAGATAATATATAAGGGTGGTTGATTTGAAATGGAAAGAAAAGTAACACCTTGTAAAAAATCCGTTTGAACATGAAAGCACAACAAATTGGTATTTTTTTTTTTTTTTTTTTTTTACATTTTGCATCTTAATGTCATATATTTGAGGCACACAAATATGCAGAACGCGATGTGTGATTGAAACCATGAATGTACATCCATGTGTATATAATTCATAAATATACACTTATCGCTTCTACATAAATGTACACTCTTATGGGCTTCTACATAAATGTACACTCTTATGGGCTTCTACATAAATGTACACTCTTATGGGCTTCTACATAAATGTACACTTATGGGCTTCTACATAATTATGCATACATGCACATGTATAAAACATGTTAGGAAAGCCCAATTGTGGATAGCCTATAAAAGGTCCCTTTTTTTTCAAAATGATTTTTTAGTAATCCCTTTAACCCAAGGGTTGTTTTGTCAATATGCACCTCACTTATAAAAAGGTTATATTTTATGTACACTTTATTGTTCCACATGCAAATGTAAAAAAAAAAAAAAAAAAACTACGTTTTTACTTCAAACCAGGAATGCACATGGTTCGATGAAGTTCCATAAAAATTAGCAAATTTAAGGCAGACATGATGTCGGCACAAAAAAATAAGGCACTGCATATTTTCTGCATATATATACATGTATGTCATTGGGTAATTATCCACAGTTCTTTCGGGAGGCAAAATAGGGAACTGATTTGATTTCGACGATACCTCCTCACCTTACTTGCTGTTACAAAGATGAGAAGGGTTCGAAATGTAGAACACTAAACGCATGACACGTATATGTACATATATATATGTCAACCTATATATTGCATATATCTTCCTATATATATATATATATATATATATATATCTATATATATAAAGCTTAAAAATTTGATATTTCTGCAAGCGCTTAATAATGTATAAATTCTGAAATGTATTTCAAAAATATGTTCGACGCCCTTGAAAAGGTTTGAAGAATATTTCCAAAATATGCATGAAAATTTTTGCAAAACACTGCCAACAAATGCGTGAAGAATTTGCAAAAGAATTTGCGAATTAGTCACAAGTATACATACATATATATAAATACTGCCATGTAAAAATTCATCCAACGAACCATTCATAGAAAAGAAAACCTTAACTGTGCAGCTCATTTATATGAAAAAAAAAAAAAAAAAAAAAAAAAAACATCCTTCAAATCAAGAGGCACAAGAGAGGGAGTCACTTACACATACATGCGTACATAATACATATACGTAGGCATATTTATATGTAGCTAGATTTAGCCCAACCAAGGAAGAGTTAAAAAAAAAAAAAAAGAAAAAGTGTAAATCACCATGAGTATGTCAAAATTTGCAAGATCCACCCTTCATATAAACAAAGCATGCAGTGTCGTGGATAAACAAATAAAGAACAATACAGCAGTTAGAACATTGAAAGGTCTGAGAAATATCAGCAACTACAAAAATGTGTGTAACAAATGGAATGCTGAATTAGTCACTATTGGAGTTGCTAAACATGGAAGAATAGCAAAACATTTCAGTAATGCAGGAGGAGAATGCTACGAGTTTAAAGCAGAAACAAAGAAATTGCTACAAATAGTAGCACATTCGCTATATACAGATAAAGAAGTTTTCATAAGAGAATTAATTAGCAATTCTTCTGATGCATTAGAAAAAAGAAGATTTCTTCAAACAGCTTCTACAAAAAATGTGGATGACACGTCAGGTGATGAATTAGCTAATATTCCTCTTCACATCAAGGTGTCAGCAGATGCAAACAAAAATTTGTTCATAATTGAAGATAGTGGAATAGGTATGAACAAAGAAGAAGTGATTGAGAACTTGGGTACTATAGCAAAAAGTGGATCACTAAACTTTTTGAATTCATTAAAGGAGAGAAGTAGTAAAACTGATGATGGGAATAACATTTCTGAACAGTCAGGTGAAAAAAGAACAGAATCTTCAAAACCAGGGGACAATATAATAGGCCAATTTGGTGTTGGTTTTTACAGCTCCTTTGTAGTTTCAGATCAAGTCGAAGTATTCACACGTTCATATGATTCTAATTCAGTTGGTTATCACTGGAAATCAGATGGAAACGGTACATTCTCTTTGAAAGAAGTGCAGGAGGATCTGCCAAGAGGTACAAAAATTATATGTCACCTGAAGGATAGCTGTAAAGAATTTTCCAATATACATAGAGTCCAAGAAATAGTTGAAAAATTCTCTTCATTTATCAATTTTCCTGTGTATATTGTAAATCGTAAAAGGGATATTAAAGGAAGCAAAGGAATTGTTAAGGGAGAAAATGGTGAATCTCAGATGCAGGAAAAGATGAGTGATGAAGGTGTTGGAGAAGAAACAATGAACAAAATGGACACAACATTTGTGAATGCAAAGGAATTAGAAACGATGAATCAAGAGGAAGATGATAGTGCTTCTAAAATAAGTAGTGCTAAGGAGGAAGAAATTGAGGAACTCAGAAAAGATGTATATGACGAAGTTCAGATAAACAACCAAAAGCCCCTATGGTGTAAGAATAATGTAACTGAAGAAGAACATGAGAAATTTTTCAAATTTCTAAACAAAAAAAAGAGCTATGATGATAACAAAAGTTACATATACAAATTGCAATACAAAACAGATGCACCCGTTTCAATAAAGAGTGTTTTTTACATTCCAGAAGAAGCGCCATCAAGACTGTTTCAACAAAATAACGAAATTGAGGTATCTCTTTATTGCAAGAAAGTTTTAATTAAAAAGAATGCAGATGGAATAATCCCTAAATGGTTACATTTTGTTAAGGGAGTAATTGATTGTGAAGATATGCCTCTGAATATTAGTCGAGAGAACATGCAAGATACTACTTTGATTAATAAAATTTCAAGAGTTGTAGTTACAAAAATTTTAAAAACATTAGAAAAAGAAGCATTAAATGATGAAGAGAAATTTAGAAAATTTTACTCCAATTATAGTTACTATTTAAAAGAAGGAGTGTTAGAAGATTCATCAAGTAGTTTTTACAAAAGCATTTTGATGAATCTTTTAAGATTTTATTCAATTCAAGAAAAGAGAATTATTTCTCTTAAAGATTACGTAAATAAATTTAAAAATGGACAGAAAAAAATTTATTATTTTTGTGTTAACGAAATAAATGTTGCTTTATCATCCCCCTACATGGAACCGTTCAAAAAACAAAACATCGATGTGTTGTTACTTTTTGAAGAAATTGATGAATTCGTCTTAATGAACCTACAAGAGTTTAATGGTTCCAAGTTTGTATCCATCGATTCTTCACAAAATGAAGATTTTGATGAAATTGTATTGAATGCAAACGAAGGAGAAATTGGAAATGCTGAGAATGATCCAAAGCAAGGGAAGAAGCAAACAGAAAAAAAACATATCTTTACAGAGAGTCAAAAAAGTGAACTAGCTAAATATTTTAAGGATGTATTAGGATCAAAATGTTCAGATGTAAAATTTTCCGATCGTTTAACAGAATCCCCAGCTGTCGTCACAGGATTCTTATCACCTACATTGAGAAAAGTTATGAAAGCAACTATGAAAAATGCATCTTTTCAAGACAACAACATGTTACACAACTTGCCTGCCACCTTAGAGTTGAACCCATCACATACAATTATTACTTCAATATATCATTTGAAAAGTAGTAATCAAGAGGTATCTAAATTGCTAGTCCAGCAACTTTATGACAATGCATGTATTGCTGCAGGAATTTTAGAAGATCCACGTTCGTTACTAACCAAATTGAATGAACTATTGGCACTTACAGCTAGATATGCATATCACTATGAGAACAATACATCTAATGCAGAAACCCACGTAGAACACACTACCCCCTCTGCTGAGGAAACAGTTGGAAATACTGAAATGTTAATAAACTCAAAAGAGTTACTACATGATACCCGAATGGATGAACAGGGAAACGTAGCTAAGGAGACTCAGTCGTCCAAATTGTGAACCAAGGGGAAAATGATATTTTTTAACAAAGTAGATATGAATTATATATACATACAATGAAAAAAAAAAAAAAAAAAAAAAAAAAGAGTTATTCTAAATATTGCCATTTTTGCTAAATGGGGCACATATCTCATGCCCCTTTTTTCTCCACATCCGCAGCAGCCAAACGTGGGGGTACTATAACCTTACCGATAAATATTTGAAGAATGAAAATGTGTATACATATACATATATATATATATATATATATATATATATATATATATATATATATATACCTCTTTTTTTGCCCTCTCCTAGCCTCGTTAGTGATTTATTTTACTTCACTCTATTGACATTATTTTATTTTAATTTTTCCTTTTTGCCATATTTATTATGTGTGTACGCATTTCTTACACAAGAATTTTAAGAATTTTTTAAAAAATAACTTTTAAATAAAAAAAAAAAAAAAAAAAAAACTAATTTAACGTATTAGCGGAGATGTATCTAAATGTTTTTTTTTTTTTTTTTTCCTGAATCTCCTGTATGTGCTACTGCATGAAGACGAAACAGGTTGGTGAACATGTGATGTGGGTTATATTTTTTCTTCCTCTTTTTTCTTCCTCCTTTTTCTTCCTCCTTTTTCTTCCTCCTTTTTCTTCCTCCTTTTTCTTCCTCTTTTTTCTTCCTCTTTTTTCTTCCTCTTTTTTCTTCCTCCTTTTTCTTCCTCCTTTTTCTTCCTCCTTTTTCTTCCTCCTTTTTCTTCCTCCTTTTTCTTCCTCCTTTTTCTTCCTCTTTTTTCTTCCTCCTTTTTCTTTTCGTTCTCATCTTCCTCTTCTTTCTATCCCTTTATTTTTCACGCATAGAGGGGGGTGAGCTAAATAAGGGATCCCAATTTCTTACTACTCTTGCTATCTTCCATGAGGGAATCTTGAGCTGCCACGACTCTCAGAATATTTTTTTTGCTACTTTCTTGTAATTCACCTGTGACTAAAATTTCATCTAATAAGTAGTAGGCCTTGTGGAAGTTAAAAATCAAATCCAATTCACACACATTTCCAAAATATTTATCTAAAATTTCGACATAATGGTGGATAATTTCTAACGTGATTAATTCATTGTCTCCCTTATCGATGCATGCGATGAAAAAAAGGCTCGCATATCTGAGAAAACCAGGGGAGTGGTATGATGTAGTGGCATGCACGTGAAGACTGTTCATATAGGGTTCATGGATGGAGGAGGTGCTCATACAATGTTCACTCAGCACACATGTGCACCCCTCTCCCATTTTCTAGTTCTACGTTCTAGTGGTTGCCTTGCCATGTGTTGAAGATGCTTATATAAGTGTGTATTTACTGGAACTTTCCCCTCCCCCCACCCTCATAATATAACATATGAATGTGCATAAAATAAATTGCATAGACATGAATTTACAACACTCGTAGAAGAGAAAATATTGATAGAACGAGCAGGTAACCTTTTAAACACAAGCTTGTACTCACGCCATTCCACGAAATTACAAAGTTTTGGAGTCCTACTTAATGTTATCTGAGATGTTTCTCGAATTATTTTTGCTTTTTCTTTTTGTGATAGAGGGATGTACCATTTTGCTAATCGTGTTTTTCCCTGCCTACTAATGAGAAGCACAAAGTGAATCATAATTCAATTTTGGGATAATGAGAAGACGGCAGGTGGAGTGGAAAAAAATTGGATATGTATAAAAGGACAAGCGAAATTGCGAGGGGTGCTGAAAACTGGAAGTATGCGGTAGAAAGGGAAAAAAAAAAAAAAAAAAAAAAAAAAAAAAAAAAAAAAAAAAAAAAAAAAAAAAAAAAAAAAAAAAAAAAAAAAAGAAAAAAAAAGAAAAAAAGAAAAAAAGAAAAAAATGTTACGGTTAAAACGTTCTAACTTAAGAACTCATTTACAATATTTTCGAAGCATGATGAAAGAAAAGAAAAATCTCTCCTTGTGTGCATTTATACGGTTCTCCTGAGTTGAGCTTTCTCACGACAGGAAAAATATTCATATGGGTTGTATTCACCTTAGGAAAAAAAAAAAAAAAAAAAAAAAAATGGACCAATTTTCATCATTTGATCTGGTAATAATATATGACCACAAATAATTTCACAAAAATCTATCTTAGTGTCGAAAAGGGCAATAAAGGAAGAGATAATATAAAAATAAGTTATACTATTGTACGTGCATAAATGTTTCATTAAGGAGGAAGAGTTAAATTTTTATATCTTTGGATTTGTATACACATATGGATCTAGGTTATCATACCACCCTTTCGTAAGAACGATTTGTAGGAATGGGACAGAATGGAGCTTAAGAGACCAGGGTTGGAAGAGGAAGATGCTGCTCTCTTCCCGTTCATAAGATTTTGTCTCAAACCCTCCCGAGTTCTTATAGGTTCACAAATAGGATATAGTACGACCATTCGTCATAACCCTTTTTATATGGACATACATTTGATTTTATAGTTGTATAATTATATCACTCCTAATGACATTTCAAGTCAACATGTTGTACCAACGTTTTATTCTGAAATTTTAAGATTTAAAAAATATTATGCACAGTAGTAGAAAAAGAAAAGGAAATCTTATGGCATGAGCTCGACATGACCATTTCCGATAGAGGTAAAAGAGAATGATAAAAAAAAAAAAATAAAATAAAAAATAAAATAATTAACGTGGAGGTAAAACTATAAAACTTATCAAAGAAAATATATACATATGTGAATACGTGTCCCAACCAGGATTTTCATAAATGTCATAAGGTTTTATGTTAGGACAATGAATTTAGTCTATACAGAATTTTTCGTGGATTTAAAAAAAAAAAAAAAAAAAAAAACTCTTTTTATATTATTTATTTATTTTTTTTTTTTTTTTTCCACTTTGCTTTTCCATTACACAAAAACTGTTGTAATAATATCTCTGTTTAGGAAAATTATATGCATTATATTGTAAAGTTATGTTAAATGTCTTTTTTTTTTTTTTTTTCTCTACTGTGTGTATATCAAGTTATTCGTCTTTGGTTACGCAATAACATTGAAAAATAGAAAGGGTAAAACTAAACATGAATATATAACTATAGCTGCTTTCATTTGTTCATGCGCCTTACTATTTAACAATTATAGTGCCTTAAGGAGTAAATTAGCATCCTTTTTGTTTGTACTTTAAATAATAATTTTTTTCAGAAATGGCCATGTGTACTACGAGGGTTGCAAACAAACAAGAATAAAAAAAAATTAAAAAAAGTAAGAGTAAAATAATGGCCAATAAATAAGGATATAACATTTATGGATAATGCGAATAAAATGTTTAGAGAACTGATGAAAACACATGTTATTCATAGAATGATGAACAAATATGAGTTATGTTTTTTTTTTTTTTTTTTTTTTTTTTAATTTTTCTGCCCCACACTATAGTGTGTTTTCCCCTCCTCTTATTAGGAGACGGGTTTATTATAATATTGTACAAATTGACTAAAAAAATATACAAGGTTCAAATAAGGAATAAAAATAAAGAAAAAAAATATGAGAAAATAATGTTTTAAAACATTATCTAAGGAGGAACTTGTGACTTTTTTTTTTTTTTTTTAGTCACTTCATTTATATTTATTATATCTTTTGGTTTATTTGTATCCCATTTATTACATTTTTTTTTCTCTCCCAATTTTTATCCAAAAATATATATACATATATATATGTATATATATAAATGCATGCCGTGTATAAATATGTAGTGTCATTGGTTTGTCACCTCATAATTTACTATCACATTACTTTTGTGGGTGTGGAAGTGGGAGGACATTTGAAACTGTTGATAAAAATTAGATTAAAATTTTCATTAAATACTAACAAAATTTGTTGAGGTTTGAATTGTTACATTGAATTGTTTTATCCCTGATATTTTTTATTTTATATTTTTTTTTTCCTTTTTTTTTTTTTTTTTTTTTTTCTTCTAAATGATAAAAAATAAAATAGCAGTAAGATAATAAAATTACAAAAAATTAGTAATTTCATAAGCATTTTCTGCATATATATATATATATATATATATATATATATATATATATATATATATATATATGTACATATAGCACTTTTAAGTACACGTTTTTTTTAACATATATGGCAAATGCTACATGTGCGCATAGGCATATGAGTAAATATTATATGTGTATACAAATCCGTTATTTCATTTTCGAACCTTTTTGTTGACAGAAAATTTAAGTATATATTTTTGGTGTACCACCTAGTGTTATGAATAAAAATATATATATATATATCATCGTACATATGTGCTACATTTACATATCTATCATCTCCTCTGCTTGAATAAATTGTGTGAAAAAAAAAAAAAAAGCCCCAATAAACGAGGTAATGTATTAATATAATGAAATAAAACGATCTACGTTTTTAGAAGAAAAGTCCGGCCAATAACCCTACTCTACTTTTTTACCCTTTTTGTTGCTTGATGGATGACAAAAAAAAAATAAAAAATAAAATAAAGCATAGTAAAGCTCTTAAAGAAGAGGGGAAACGAGTGACAATATACCAACGGAATAGGAAATAAACAGATTGAAGAGCTAGAGGAGGACTACCCAATAAATGAATCACAGAATTGTTAATTCGTACGAAAACGAATAAAATCTTATTAACACAGTTGTGGAGAGAGTAAGGTGATATATATATATATGTATATATTTCCTGCAGAGAATTGAAAAAAAAAGGAAAAAAAAATTTACAAAAAGTTCATCATCCACAGAGATTGCGATAAAAGGGTAAAATAAACGTGTGGGTTATTTTTTAACAAAATCGTCCCCCAACGATAGATAAGAAAAAAATGGAGTGGTTGAACACGACATCGAATTATGTATATCCAAATGATATGTGTGCATTGATAAGTAATATGACAAAAATTTTAGATAATGAAACTATAACAGATAGTGACAAAAAAAAAATATGGGATATAATAAATAATATATATGATCAATGGACCAAAGTAGCAGAATTGGAAAAGGAAAAAGACAAAAGAGATTACTATAAAATAATTGCTCTCTTTACATTACTCATGTCAACCAACTGGTTTAAAGAAGAGCAGGAAGAGATGGAATTCATAATAAACGAAATTTATTACAATTATGTGGGACTTGCTCAAAGTTTTCCACAGGAAGATCTCGTCAGGGCTGTTCAGAATTCCTTGGGTGCAGAAATAACAAAGGTAATGTCCTCTTTATGCAAATTATGCACATTACGCATTTTTGTGCATGGCTTTTTTTTTTTTTTTTTCTTTTGCCATAAATGTAAAATAAAATATGAACAAGTCATACGATATGTGTATTGGCACCAAAATTTATGTATGCACATGTGCATATATATATGTGCATTTTTTTTTTTTTTTCTGAACAGTGCATAATTAACAAAAGTGACCTGAAAGTGGAATTTGAAAAGGGAGACTACGGTGAAGGCGTTTTCAATGGGAAACTTGTACTAGACATAAATAATGGCCTTTTTTTGCATAAGGAAAATGAAATTTTAAAATACAACGGGAAATTACCTATGGATACATACGAAATTGAGATGGCTATTAATTCCTTTGATTGGAAACAACATGAAAGAAAACAAAAATAAAAAACGAAATTGGGGTTAGTCCTCCTCCCCTCCCCCTTCGGCCTTGTAACATGGGCAATATAATGCATAATAAAACTATTCCGCTTTATATATGTAACATGATAAACGGCACTTGTTTTGCTTTATATGATATATAAAATCATTTCTCCCTCTCAGCATTATAAATAACATCATTTTTTTTTTTTTTTTTTTATCTCGCTTTGTTTTATAACACCAGCCAATCCGCATCGTATGACAATACCAGTGATTTTTCACCGCACGATAATATCAGCGAATTCGCTCTGCACGGAAATAGCAATAAACCCACACCGCATGATAACACGAGCGAATTTGCATCGTATGATAACACAATTTGTCCCATTTCATAGCGAGCAGCCATTTGTCCCTTTTTAATACCTCGTGATTGTACTGGTGCCGATATATTATGGTCACATAATTGTATACGACAATTTGCCTTAACCTCACTTTTCCGCCTACCCCTGTTACTCTTTTGATAAATTAAAATACTTGTCCCACTTTAAAAAAAAGCCTCCCATCCGATTACACAATTATTTTTTATTTTATTTTTTTTGCTCGAAATATTTTTCTTCTTTGCTTTGAGTCTTTGCTTTGCGTCTTTGCTTATTTCTCGTATATCTACTTATTATTTTTTATTCTATTTTTTCTTTTATTGTTCAATTAAGTCACCGCTTAAATATGAGAAAATAAATAAGCGTCACTATGCTATCAAGTGAATTTGTTTTTTTAAAAATGCTTTTCATATAGTATGTTCTATTGAGGAAGCTGAAGATCTCTTATATTCCACATTTATTAAACATTCCGTGAATAAATATACATGTTTTATTTTATTTTGTTCTTGAATGCAAGCGTTTTTTTTAAGTGGAAAATTTTTTTTTTTTTAAAAGTTCACCAAATCTGTGTAGAGTAGTATATATGACTATATTTTGCTATGCACGAATTTACAAAAAAAAAAAAAAAAAAAAAAAAACGGGAAAAAAATATTGACAAATATTGCTTTACTTAAAGTACAAAAAGGTTGAGAAGCCATCACAATTGATTTTTTTACTACAAAAAAAAAAGAACATTTCTACGCTGAGGACATATAAAAAACGATATATATATATATATATATATATACATATCTATATGTATCTATATATATTGGGGGCATAAAAGAGGCTATGCAACTGTGCTTCATATAAATGTCAGATGAACACATACACAATTAGATTGGGAGAGAAAAATATACACACGTTTCAATCATACGGAAAATATGTACCTACACAATTCTACGTGTTACTTGTGCATTTACACATCTTTAATTAGTATCTCCAAATATTTTTTGTATCCATCTGTTTGGGTCTATACGTTCCAAGTTCACAGATTCTTCTGTCTTTGAATTCGTTTTACACAAAGATGAACTGCAGTTGTGATTGTAGTTGGAGCTAATTCTATGTAGCCGATCTCTCCTTTTCCATATTTGGTTTACAACTTTGGAATGCGAATAACTTTTCATCTTATTCATGAAACCGTTTTGCTTAATTTTCAAATAATCCCCACCTCCAGAACCATCATTCTTTCTTAGAAAATTTTTTCCCGCGTATGTATCTGCAAGACGAGAAAGTTTGAAAATGAAATAAACATGTGTGAATTTACATATTCTCACGATATAACAAACGTTTCGACACGGTAATGGGGTTACAGACAAAGTGGCGAATGTACCCACCAGGATGTACGTAAAAATAAATGTAAGGCAAAAATGGGCGCACACAAAAAAATAAAATACCATAAAATAGGATAAAACACGATGAAACACGATAAAACACGATGAAACAAAATGAACAAATAAATGCAGACCGCACTTGCTATTGTTATTACCATTAGAATAATCTCCTTTTATTGATAATATTTCAGGATTTTTTCTCCTATTGGCTAATTCTGTGTCGCTGAAATTTCCCTTCTCTAGAGCTGTCAATCCTAAACGATTGATAAATACATTATCTGTGTCTTTGTATGAATGCTGAGAGAATTTCTCTGAATTCTCATGTGAATCATAACCATCAGTAGCTGAATTCTCCCGAATTATGCTATTAAATTTGTCGCCATCAGATTTATCTCCATTATTGGAATTCTTTATGTTTACTTTTATTCTTATTAAATCGTCTGACTTGTTCAGATTTTTATTTATTGTATCGTTATTCATGCAGTTATATGTATTTAAGACATTTCTCATTTCGGTACTTTCTTCTAATATAACATTTTCTCCTTTTTCTTCACCCTCTATTTTTAAGAAGGAATTTATTTCCTTTTCCATAACATCTATTTGCGCACTAGTCCTTTCACAAATGTTCTCCTGCGCTCTGTCTTCTTTAACATTACAATTGGTATCATACCTGTTACCACAATTAGTGTCATAATTACGTTGGTTGTTTTGATTCTTTCTTTTTTCATTCTGTAATGTGCTAAATGCATTCTCACTGTGATTTTGTTCTTCAGCGATAGAATTCCCCATCTCGGTGCTCTTTCCTATATTATACGTAATTTTTAATGCACCATTTAGTATTTCTTCACAGTTTTGATTTTCAATATAGATGTTTTCTTCTTTTATATTGTTATTCTTCATACCACCTTCATGGTGTTTTATAAAGTGCTTGTCAAGTGCTCCTGCATCGTCTGATTCATAATCTTCCAAAATTTGCACCATATTATTCGGCTCGAAATAGCCACCCCGTTCTATACACCTTCTTACCTCCTCCTGAACTATATCATTTTGTTTATACTCCCCATCTCCCTTTTGTTGTATATTCCTCTGTGTGTGTGTCTTAAACGATTGGATACTTCTTTTCAATAGGTTCAGTTTTTTTACTCTATTTTTATATGAACGTGATCTAAGTCTTTCGTCATTTAATGCGTCTCTATATCTTATATCCCTGAATGATTTTAACATAAAGCTAGAAATGGGTTCTTCTATCCTTTTCTCATTTTCCATAGTTTTGCATTCTTTCTTTTTTCTTACTTTTCTTACTGTTGGGTGATGATTCTTTATTCCAAAAATTATATTCGAAATATGACGTTCATTTGTTATATTTACTCCTTTGTATTTTTTTCCATTTTGAACGCTGTAATTTCGTGGTGCATTATTAATGTTTTTGTTGAATTCATTAATCGATACTTCATTTGATGAATACAAATTTACATTACTGCAACTGCTAATGTTACCTTTCTTGTAGCTGTCTAAGTTGGTCCTGTTATTGACCCTATCAACAGAATCATGTTTTTCTAAACGTTTTGATATCTTCCTGGTACATCTTCCTGTTCTTTTTAAAAAAGATATATGATCCCAATCAGCACTACTCGAAGATTTATCGTAATAATTACTCCATAAATTGTTAAATTTGTCTCTAGCCCTTTCTCTTAACATAGTTCTCTTTTCCACTATACTAGCTAATGATTTTTCAAGTTTTTTTTTTTCATATAAATTTTTTTTTTTTTCTATGTACAACTTTTTTAGCAGTAGCTCATTCGTGATCTTATCCTTCTCATAGCTTTTCTTATTGGGTTCTGAAATGCATTCGGCTAAGCTTTTTCTTGTACCCGTCTCCACTTCACCTATATGGAATTCTCCTAACCTGTCATTCTTATTCGTTAGCCCCCTTGGTGCGCTATTTTCAATATTCATACATACGCTACTCTCTCTTGGTAGAATTTTCTGTAATTCTTTGTAATACTTATCAACTTCTTTACTTATAGGTTTGTCATGTTTGTAGATTTCACTCATGGGGGATATCTCTTCTATGTTTCTATATACAATGGAAGGTTCGATAGTGTTCCTATACGACCTCTCCATATCATACTTATGTTCCAGTGCAATGTCGTGTCTATGCTTCGATACCATATTATACCTATGCACCGGTGCATTATAACCCCGATTGGGGATAAAAATTGCTTTTTTCATACTTCTACCAAGATGGGGAATATGAGATCCATCATGTGCCATGGGAAGATATCCAGAAGTTAATAAGTTCATAACATGGTCTCTTTCCATTTGATTTTCTTCATTGTCTTGTCCATTGTGATCTTTTCCTTTCTGGATATCAGTTCCATTACCAGAGATTCGGCTACCCTTTAAGTGAGATATCTTACTTCTAAACGGATAACTTTGACGATAAGCATTTAAATGATTTTTCAACCTGGTCCCTCTTAAACGTTCAACGGGTCTCCGTGATTTCACGCATTGATTATGATTTGCCATTAATTGAGTCATTCTAAATTGGTTATTCTTTTTTGTTCCATCATTTTCTGCGCCTGCCCCTGCTTCTGCCCTTGAATCTGCCTCTGAATCTGCACCTGCCCCTGCATCTGCCCTTGAATCTGCCTCTGAATCTGCACCTGCCCCTGCATCTGCCTCTGAATCTGCCTCTGAATCTGCCCCTCCTCTGACAGATTCGCTCGAGTAACTCTCATCTGTGCGACTATGTGCCTCTTCATCGATCTCTTCCGCACAAATCTGATTCGAATCTCCCACCATCGAATCATTGTACGAAATTTTAAAGATTCTTTTTTTCCCTTTCACTGATGAAGAGGATTTTTCGGAATGGTCACTTTTCAGTGCATCCTCAGGAGGACATGTATTTTTTTTTTTTTTTTTTTCGCTAAAAATGTTGACAACCCGCTCTATATCCAAATCGACAGCACATTTGGCTGCTTCTTTAAAATCTTCATCGTTCGTTTGCACTTGAACATCTTTTTTGTTTTTTTTCTGCATCTGAAATATGTTTTTTACTCTTGTTCCATTTTTATCACTATTGAGATCGACGGTTTTTAAGGATATATTTTCACTGGAAGACATGTCAATAAGGTTAATTATAAAATTGGAATTTTTTCTATTACTCATGTGTGCTTTTTGTGGATTATTCATATCGTCACTATTGGTGCAATTATTTAAAAGATTAACCTTCTTTTTTGGATTTACTTCCGATGTAATGATATTAATTTCTCCCTTTTCTTTTTTTTCTACAATTGGCATTTTTTGCATTTTCAAAACATTCAGTGTCTTCAGTTCATTTTCCATGTGATTGCTACTGCTACTGACGTGTCTATTTTTGTATAAATTTAATATGACATCTGTTGGACTCTTCGTTTTTCTGTATAGAATTGTGTGGTTCAAGTCATTAGGGGATCCAATTTCTACCATATTCTTTTTACTAGATTCAAAATATTCGTACATTTTATTTCTCCCTATAGTGTGATTGTTGTTTATCGTGTATCTAAGGTAGTCTTGCAGGTTCTTGTTCCTAGACAATTCTGAGGATACTCTACGTCCCACCCCCGGGGTGCCTCCACCAAGGTCTTGCACTCCACCCTCAGAATCATTTCTCGGCCCAACCTGTGCGTCATTTCTCGGCCCAACCTGTGCGTCATTTTTCGGCCCAACCTGTGCATCATTTCTCGGACCAGCTTGCGCATCATTTCTCGGACCAGCTTGCGCATCTTTTATAGTGCACTTTTGGGAACCGCTCGGGTCGCCTCCCGTCTGGAGGTAACTCAACTCAGGGTAAAGAACATACAAGGGGGAACACCTCAAATATGATGGAATTTTTATATTTGTATTATCTTGAAATTTTATTGAATTAACAACATTTTCTAATTTATTCGTTTGAAAGTTGTTATGTACATTATCAACAACAGTGTTGTATGTTCTATTGGACATTCCAATCTTGTCATATAACATTCCTCTGGAGAACTCATTAGATAACTCACGGTCATATGAAATGTCGGTGTTAAATGGAAATTCCTCATTATTGTCTTCTTCTTCATTCATGTACAGATATTTGTGTAGATTCTTGGCATTTACCTTTCTACCTACAGATTCGTCTAATGGATTATTACAATGGAGTATTTCATTTTTACTAGTATTATCATAGTTCAGGTAATCAACAGGTCTTCCATAATTGTCTCTTTCACCATCCACTATGGAACTATTTTTTAAAAGTCCGCTTGAATTTTTCAGTATGATTGAAGAGCACATGAGGTTTTCTTTTATGCTGGTGCACGACCTGTTCCTCGCAATTTCGAATTTGTTTTTTGCACTTGTCATGGTGTCTCTATGCAAAGCAGATATGCAAGGCCTTATTATCTGTGTGGATTTTGTTGTACCGTCTTCCGTGTGTTTTCTCCTCGGAGGTACAGGCAAATCAGTCCTCTCACCCCACCAAAAGAAGCAAAATAATGGAAAGCAAAATAAAGGGGAGGCAAAAAAAAAAATTGGGTTGAAATAATTCGTGCACAAATGAACCCACGAAATAGTTATTCCATGAATGAACACAACGTGAATAAATTTCCCGTGTGTATGTCACTTCGGGAAGGATATATATATATATATATATATATATATATAAAAAAGGGGGAACTTTCTAAGAGTAGTATCTAACAAGTGTGGATGATCTGGGAACTATACCCGATGGGGGAAATTTTTCCAAAAAAAAAAAGAATAAAAATTAAATGAGATGATATGGGGATGAAACGAACAAGATATGAAAAAAAGTGCAGACGAAAGTTGGCAGACGGATGCATGTCGTCTCCACTCGTCAATACGGGTGGGGTGGTGCCATTTTCTTCAAATCATCATCCCAGTTGCTGTCCTTTCACACAGAATAAAAAAAAAAAAAAAAAAAAAAAAAAAAATGAAAGCAAGTAACAAGTGTGTGCATTTAACATGGGTAAGTATTTTTCCTCTTGGACGCTTTCGTTGGTGTGGCTTTTTCAAAATTATCATTTTTGGGAATGGCAAGAGAGCAGAATGCATATTGCAAAGGCAAAAAAGTGACACTTCAAAAACGAAAAAATAAATAAAACCCAAATGTATGAAAATGTGTACGAATGTGTACGAATGTGTACAAGTGTGTACAGGTGTGTGTACAGGTGCATGTGCCTACGCATGCATATATTTTTCACTCATATATAGCCCCCCCCCCCACCTCCCATTTTTTTTTTTTTTTTTCTCTCATATGATATATCAGCTGGATGCAGCAAGGCATGAGGAGGGAGGGGGGGGTTTGAGTATGCATGTATTTTACCACACTCCTTCTGTCCCCACAAAATAATCATCTTTGAAAATTTTCCAAAAAGGTTGAATAAAAATAGAAGAAAAAAAAAAAAAAGGGGGAAATCGCAACGTGTTAAAGGGGGATTATCTCTCATTGGAGGTACTCTAAGATGTGTGTAAAAAAAAAGAAAAAAAAAAAAAAAATGGGGGGGAATTGTTTTACCATTTAGTGATTGCACAAAAAAAAAAAGTGTAAATTATAAGGGGGAGGGGGGAGGGGGGGAGAGAAGTGCAAAACAAGAAGATAAGAAAAAATAATAAAGTAATGGTGAAATAATGAAAATAAAACGAAAAATGATAAAGTGATAAACTTGAAGAAAATAAGTGTATATGCATCAATTGATAATATTTTGAGAGTGCATGATTTGGAACATCTCAAGTAGCGAAGCTTATATACGGGCATGTTCTTCCCCCCCCCCCCCCCCCATAAGTAAAAATCATGAGCCTCATAAAGAGGCAGATTACAAAATAAACTTTTTCCTCCTCTTCAGGAAAAGGCCTGCTTTTACGAGGCCAATTTAGTGGCTACCCAAAAAAGGAAAAAAAAAAAGTACATATTCCATGTAGGATATATATACGTATACATATATGTACACGCAGGGATATAAACACGTTTGTCCAAGTCCATTCCGTCCGAACACAGCACAGCAGGTGCCCTTATACACATGAACGGCAAGGAAGAAAGCAAGAACGAGAGCACTAATGGGTTATGCTCGAGTAGTATGTGCAGCACTCTGTCAAGTGAGAAACGGATAATAAAATTGTGCGAGGAGGATATCAATAAGATTGCAGCTGGGGAGGTGATAATTAGGCCATGCAATGCATTGAAGGAATTAATTGAAAATAGTTTGGATGCAAATTCCACAAGCATAAGTGTTCATTTAAACAGAGGAGGGTTAAAATCGTTACAAATAATTGATAATGGAGATGGAATACACAAAGATGATTTACAAATTGTATGCGAAAGGTTTACTACTAGCAAAATAACTAGCCATAAGGATATCCGTTTTATTAAAAGTTTTGGGTTCAGAGGTGAAGCATTGTCATCTATATCACATGTTTCATTCTTAACAATAACGACGAAAAAAAAAAACTCTCCCTTCTGTTATACGTGTGCATACAAAGATGGAAAACCAACTCAGAATGAACCAACAATTTGCTCAGGAAAAGATGGTACCATAATAAGATTTGATGATCTTTTTTATAATATGAATTCTCGTTTAAAAACATTAAACCATAGTGATGAATACAACAAATGTTTAGAGGTATTGCAAAAATATGCTATTCATTATCCACATGTTTCTTTCACATGTAAAAAATGGCTTAGTAATACTGTCGATTTGAATACGCAAGGTACAGGTAAAGGGATAGGAGGGTTAGGAGGTATTTATGTCATTAAATCTAAGAGAAAAGAGTTATTCAACGAATTAATGGAAGAATCTTACCAAGGGAAAAGTGAAACATTGCTGAATAATCATAACAAGGATGGTGATAATTTGAGCAAAGCAGAGATATACACAGAAATGGAAAATAAAATATTAGAAGAAGAGAAATATTTAGACAAAAATTATGAAAAACACCTTAACAATGTCAGGTTAACTATACAAAAAATTTACGGTAGAAACATTGCTAAAGAATTAAGCTCTATATTTATCAAGGAGAAAATACCAACCTTTTTTAAATGCTATGGATTGATAAGTAATCCAACATATAGTGGAAAAAAAGGGTCTTACATCTTTTTTATTAATGATCGTTTAGTAGAATCAAGCATATTAAAAAGAATGTGTGAAGCTCAATATTCCAATTTCTTAGCTAAAGGAAATTACCCATGGGTTTATCTCTCCATACGATTAAAGTATGACATAGTAGATGTCAATGTTCATCCCACAAAAAAAGAGGTTCATTTCTTATATCAAGAAGAAATCACATTGCTTATTTCTAGACGAATAGAAGAATTTTTGAAAAATTTTCAAAATGCACGAAGTTTTAATGCTCCAACAGCTAATATGATACAAACCAAATTTGATATCACTTCTACTAAGGTAGAAGTAAAGACAGAGATAACAAGCAGAGGAAGCAAATGTAGAGAAGATGTTGGTACTACATTAACTGGTGAAAGTAGCCGGATAGATGGAGGAGTAAAAAATGGATTAGGACGATTAAGAGAAAACCAGGGGAAAAGTGTCAAAAAATCGATAGACACGAAAAGGGTAAGAACAGATCATAGACAGATTATGCTTACGAATTATTTTGTAAAGAAAGAGGAATGTAAAAAAGAAGACAAAACAGCAGTAGTGCTATTTGAAGAAAAGGAATATGAGATTCAAAAGTTAGAAGCACCTAAACCTGCTCTATTCAATGCAAATGTAGAAAAACACATAAGCAATGTGAGGTATAACAGAATATACGAATGTGAATGTGATAATATAAGCAGCATAAGAAAGTTAAAGAAAATATGTGAAGAAAAAGAGAAAAAGGAATTAACGGAATGTTTGAAAAATTCTATATATGTTGGAGCAGTGGACAGTTTGCATAGTTTAATTCAATATAAAGAAAAATTGCTAATGATAAAAATGCCATTAATAATAAAAGAAATTACCTATCAATCTATTTTGAACCGAATTGGCAGAATACCACCTTTCAAATTTGAACCACCAATCCCAATATATGATTTATTACTAGTAGCATTAAATAATTCCTATTCAGGTTATTTTGAAAACCCTGATTATGTAATGAAAAATATTGAAAGAATATGTAACGAAATAGAACAAGTTTTCTATTCTTATGAAGAAATGTATGCAGATTATTTTTCTTTAATAATTGAAGATGGATGTGTTTCAACCTTCCCAGCTTGTTGTGGGGAATATTTTCCAGGTCAGGAATTTTTACCACTCTTATTCTTAAGACTCGCTACCCAAATTGATTATGAAAGTGAGCTGAATTGTATTAATGGCATATGCTATTTGCTTGGAAATTTTTACTCCAAAATTACTCTTCTCGATGACAAACAATGGACATATCAAGATGAATTACTTATGATTAAGGAAAAAGAAATGCAAATGTTGCTCAATAAAACAAAAGATAAAAATGATCGATCAGCATCATTTCCATCGCCATCAAAATGTAAGGATGAAAAAAATTACGATTTTGAAAATATCTTGGGGGACGAAACAGTCATTGACATCAACAAGCATTTAGCTGCTTCTAAAAATATCAACTTGGTTTTCGAGAAATATTTCTTTCCTATGATTCAGCTAAATACCGTTATGAAAATCCCAAGCACCTTCTCAAACAATGGGTACATAATTGAATTGACTTCCCTAAATCAGCTCTACAGGATATTTGAGCGCTGTTAGGTGCATCAAGCGGACACGCATAGGGTCGTTTTTGCATGTGTATACTATGTAGGGGTGACATACCTGTGTGTACACATAAATTGTATGTACGTTCCCTTTTAGTTTCCGCCCATTGGGAAATTTGTCCAAAAGGTGAAGAAGGAGAAGAAGAAGAAGAAGAAGAAGAAGAAGGAAGAGAAGTGAAGTGAAGAAAATTTTTAGTTTTCTCATGGTTACACTACATTCTGAAATGCACATCTTTTGACACATCAAAGGTGATATCATTTTTAAAAAAAAAAAAAAAAAAAAAAAAATGTCCTGTAAATTCGTTAAACAAAAAGGATAAGATGGATTAAAATGGAACAATATATAGAGAGTAAAACAAAATGAAGTAATTTTTTTTTTTTTTTTTTTTTTGTTACGTTCATTTTTAAGATAGATTATTTAATCAATTTATCTTTAACCATTAAAGACAAGAACAGGATTAGACGCTTTTAATGGCCTTTATATTTTTTCTTATTTTTTCCCTGTGTTATATCCATCATTACATTGTTAAAATTTCTTAGGCAACAATGTGAGACACATCATATTCCACTACAGCGTATGAATAATAACCATTCCAATTAAGATAAATTTTATACATTCTGAGTGCTGTTCAATTTTTGCTATTCTTTTATAAATATCGAGAGACGATCAAACCAATGAATATGTCATAATACGGATGGGTTAACGAGAACATTTGTTACACGTGCTCATTTGTGAAAAAGGGAGAAATATTAACACATTTGGAGTAATGCACATTTGAATGTGTATACATGCTACTTAAAATTATGATTTGCAAAAAAAAAAAAAAAAAAAAAAAACAGCTGAAACAAAATGATAGGCGATTCTATACCTTCCCAGTTTGTAGAAAAGAATACTACATAATGATATCTTTCATTCAGGACAACATTAAAATTTTCAAATTTATATACACAACAAAAAGTTTCGTATTTTTCAATTTAATCGGAGTATACAACATTTATATATTTGAATAAATTTGATGTGAACAGAAATTTTATGGAAACCCATGGTATTGTAATTTGGTAAAAGGTATAATTAGTTAACTAAAAAAATGTTTAATCAATGTCAAGGGATTTTTTTTTTTTTTTTTTTTTTGTCAGAAATGTTTTCCTCCATTTTGGCTATTTTTCGCACGGTCTGTATGTAAGAAAAAGGAAAAAAAATCTGACCTGTTCATAATTTTTTGCAAGCTTGACTTGTGTGTGCAGGGGGGGATAGGAATATATATATATATGTATATACAAGCATGTATATGTGTATGCATGTACAAATTCGTATGGCGCCCAAGGATAATGTATGTTTTGTTACGTATGAGTAAAATTTGCTTTAAGACTAAGCAGTTCAGCATATACAGTGATAGCTGTTCATACTATTTGGTTTTATTTTTATTTATTTATTTTTTTTTTTTTCTCATTTTTCAGATTTTCATCATAGCTTACGCACGTGAATAAAATGAAAAAAATAAAAAAAAGTGTTGTTTTTACATAACCCGTTTGACAAGGCAGATATAACCTTGCAATTGTGCTACATAAGTATATGTGTGTATAAAATCACTTATTGCATTTCTCTCATCATGGGATAAGTAGCTCTGTTCATGTGTCAGCACAGAATGTAGTCTAATTTGTCGTAAAACAGGGATGGGAGAGAATGTTATCGAACCATGAAAATATAGGTGAACAGAGGGGCAAGGAAGGTAGGAGCCATCATCAATAGGAAAAGTAAACTGTGGAAAAACAAAAAAAAAAAAATTTTAAAAGTAACATCTGTGCCTCATATACCTAACATTATGAACGAACTTTCTTTATTATAAATTACCAATAACGCACAAGCCTTTTGTGAAATTTTCCATGTAGGCCAGGGGCAGCCTCTCCTCCCCGTCATTCCCATTGATTGGAATTTTAATTTTACTGCACATTTTACTGCTTATTTTATTGCTTATTTTATTGCTTATTTTACTGCACATTTTACTGCTTATTTTACTGCTTATTTTGCTGCTTATTTTACTGCTTATTTTGCTGCTTATTTTACTGCTTATTTTGCTGCTTATTTTACTGCTTATTTTACTGCTTATTTTACTGCTTATTTTACTGCATATTCTACTGCTTATTCTACTGCTTATTTTATTGCTTATTTTATTGCTTATTTTATTGCTTACACAATGTTGATGGAAAAAAAAAATATAAAAAGCGTCAAAAGAGTCCATCTCGGCTAACACACCCAGTAGTGCACATATACATATTTTATAAAGTTTACAACTTTTTATTACCGCTACAATGCTTATAAATATATGTATTTATTTACTGGCATCCAACAACAATGTGGAGCTAACATACAATATTTATAAATGTATACAATATCACATATATGCTGGGCATACAATAGTGTAATGATGTGTATGTACTTAATTTACACAAATATAAAACATACATGATATATGTGCTATATGATGAGAGAGGTAATACCACACGTTCCACACGTATCATACGTATACTATAATAATCCTAATGGGGCGAATTTATCACATAAATATTATCACCCATAAAATAATTATATTATAATATACACTAGGGGGACGCACTACAAATGAGGGAAAAAAAAAAAAAAAAATAAATAAATAAATAAATAAAAGCATACATCATAAAGAATAGATAGAGGAGGATGGAGAGTGTACCCACTTGACCGACTATCGCATTTGGTATACTCGCTGGGGTTTTTACATACCCTTAAAAAAGGTGTCAATTTTACATTTTTTTTTATTCATTTTTTTATATTTGTTCATTTTTTATATTTGTTCATTTTTTATATTTGTTCATTTTTTATATTTTATTTTTTTTTTCCATTTTTTGTAAGACCGTGAGGCTTGGCATCCCCAATTTTCTCTTTCTTTTCTTTTCTCTCCTTTGGCACTGAGGCGATATTCATACCTTTTTTTTTTTTTTTTTTTTTGTTACATTTTTGGCCATATGGCATTTGGCGCTAACATACTTCGTGCATAAGTAGTATATATTTTGTTATGCATTATGTTATGTGTGTAATATACAATACATGTATACATTTATATGTTTAGTTATATGTGCAGTTATATGTACAGTTATATGTACAATTTATGTTCAGTTATGTGCATAACTACATGCTTGGTGATAAATTGTACATACATACACGAGTACGAAAAAAAAAGTGGTTCTTTTTCCCTTCATAATAATACCAATTCGAAAGAAATAATTAAAAAATATAATCCTCTTATCCCCATTTAAGCCAATACCAATAAAAGTTCTCACAGTACAATTTCCAATAAGGAAATATTCTTAAGTATTTTCTGTTAATAAGCTAATATGTTTATTATTTTATATATATATATATATATATAACTTTATTTTTAGCGCACTTTTTAGCAAGTTTTTTACTTGATTTTTTTGTTTTTTTGTTTTTTTCGTATTTTCTTTTTTTCACATAAATATAATGGTATTTTTATATATATACTTTACATATATATATATATCTAAAAGTTGAAGTTTTTCCCTGTTTTTCCCTGTTTTTCCCTGTTTTTCCTTGTTTTTCCTTGTTTTTCCTTGTTTTTCCTTGTTTTTCCTTGTTTTTCCTTGTTTTTCCTTGTTTTTTTTTTTTTTTTTTTTTTTTTTTTTTTTTACCCAGAACGTTTTTAAAAAAAAAAGAGTTTTCCCATTTTTAATATTTATTTTTTAACTTTATTTTATTTATACCCTTCCCTATTCTTATTTTTCACCCCATTTCTCAACACAAGTAAGTGAATACGTGACAATCCAACTGTACGTACCAGAGAGCGAATGTACAAATGAAAGTACGTACAAATGAGAGCATGAGCAAATGAGTAGTGAGAATACAAATCGAGGCCAAGTGGAGGCATGCACAAATGGAACACATGTACATTATAATATATATGAATAAGTACCACATTATCTTATGCATTCTCATCGCACCTTTAACCCTTTAGTTGTGCGTATCACATATATATATACATATGCATATACATATACATATAATAGGGTTATTTCATGTCATGCAAATTTTTAGCCCAAACGGGATGTCCCCCACTGCTGCCCCTTGCTACGCTGTTGCATTATATCACTCCTTATTTTTATTTTATTTTATTTTTATTTTTTTTTTTTTTACATTTTCATTTGTGCTCCGTTTTTCTTTTTGCCTTTTTATTAATTCACCTTCATTGTACTTTTTTTTTTTTTTTTTTTTTTTTTTTTTTGCGTTCCTTCTTTAACCCTGTATAAAAAACAAAAAGAAGTAGCACAACAGAACAGCTGTGCAAAACATTGTAAAGAGGAAAAGCAACAAAGTGACGTAGTGTGTGATTAAGTAAGAACGATCCCTGTGCCTCTACAAAATTGTATGTATGAATTCGTTAATGCTTAGAAAGCGTACACCGATTTAATTGTGATTGTAAAGTGGAGGAGAAAAAAAAAAATGCATACACAGATGCACGGGTGCACACTTATACCATGTATGCATACCTCTGTGACGCTACTAGTGGACGTGTTCTCCTTTGCATAAGAAACCCTTTGCACATATACTTATATATACACACACATCCATTTTGCTTATATTTACACGATACATGTATACGAAAGGTACATACATATTTTTGATCGAATATAATTTATTTTGTATGATTTGCTGTTGGTATAGTGTAGACAAGGGTGCATTATTATAGCAACACATGTTGATCATGTTTTTTTTTCTTTTTTTTTTTTTTTTTTTTTGTATGAATATATCTTATGAAAAAATGTGAACATATAAAACCGTACACGATTATGTTCTTCTTGTCCACCTTTTGTTATACATTACTCATGAATATAGTCTACATTTCTATGGTGTTGTTAATTTAAAGTTTTTTTTATATCGCTAGTTATATTTCAGAGTTGGTGGAAAATTGTTGTTATATATTTAATTTTTTTTTTTTTTTTTTTTTTTCATTCCATTTCGATGTATTTTACACTGTTACATTTGTCATTGCATGCTTGTTTTTTCATAGTGTAGATAATATTTTCATTTCTACATCTTGAAGGGATGAGTATTACTAATACTGTGCTTTCCTGTGGGACGTACATAATAAGTGTATATCTACCTTTTTGGCCCACGGCTACACACGCTTGCCTCCAAATTTCTCGTACCATTTTTACATTTTTCAGCACTTCGTATACATAACTTTTTAATAAAGAATAAACACAAAAATGGATTCACAAGAATACATACCACAATACAAGCTTATTTTAGTTGGGGATGGTGGTGTTGGAAAGACCACATTTGTAAAAAGGCACCTTACAGGAGAATTCGAGAAAAAATATATTCGTAAGTGATTTTTAAAAATGGAACACCGAGAGGAGAGAAGCACACGTGAAAACAAAAACAAAATAAAATGAATAAATAAAACAATAATATAATCATAAGCATATGCATGTATGAACGTGAACACGATATTTATGAATTGTCTTATCAAAGTGAACATTTCTTTAGCACAAGTGCATAACAATACTCCTCAAAAAAATGCTTCCTACATTGCATACGTACGCACATATCTGTATGTGAATGTGCATATCTGCATGCATGTATATATACATATTTATTTTATTTTTTTTCAAATTACTTCCTGAAGCTACCCTCGGTGTCGAAGTACATCCATTAAAATTTCAAACAAATTTTGGAAAGACACAATTTAATGTGTGGGATACTGCAGGTCAAGAGAAATTTGGAGGATTGAGGGATGGGTATTACATAAAAAGTGATTGTGCAATTATTATGTTTGACGTATCTTCTCGTATTACATATAAAAACGTGCCAAATTGGTACAGAGACATAACGCGAGTGTGCGAAACGATTCCTATGGTTTTAGTTGGAAACAAAGTTGATGTTAAAGATAGACAAGTGAAATCAAGACAAATACAATTCCATAGAAAGAGGAATTTACAATATTACGACCTATCAGCAAGGTCGAATTATAATTTTGAAAAGCCATTTTTATGGTTAGCAAGAAGATTATCAAATCAACCAAATCTCGTATTTGTTGGAGAGCACGCTAAGGCTCCTGAATTCCAAATTGATTTGAATATTGTGCGTGAGGCTGAGAAGGAACTAGAGCAAGCTGCTGCCGTGGCCATAGACGAGGAAGACATAGAAAATTGATCAAGCGGAGTAGTGTGAAGGGCTCTGAAGGGCTCTGAAGGACTGTGAAAGACTGTGAAAGACTGTGGAAAAGTGCGAAGAAGTATGGAGAAGTATGAACAAGTATGAACATGTATGAAGTACCAAGTGCACAGTGTCAAGGGCCAAGTTCTACGAATGAATTACCACTGTCGAAAGTTCACATAACATCAAGTAGCAAACCGAGAAAAGGGGCGCCTGGGCTTTTTAACCTGCCCTGATGAGCGAACAAGAAAAAGCTGAGCAACAAATTAACTTGATCATACATATAAATATACAATAAGCTGAAGGATCTGTACTTTCCACATATATAGACCTATTGCATATATAGATTTATTACATATATAGACCTATTGCATATATAGATTTATTATATATATAGACCTATTGCATATATAGATTTATTACATATATAGACTCATTACATATATAGACCTATTGCATATATAGACTCATTACATATATAGACCTATTGCATATATAGACTCATTACATATATAGACTTGTATTACAAGTGCATGCGTGCATATGGATGGGAGCCATAGTGGTAAAAAGAAAAAAAAAAAAAAAAAAAAAAAGGTAGAGGTGGTGGTAGACCTGTGAACGCTTCAAATTGTTTAACAACTTTTTGTCAAGATAAATTTAGTTATTTTCTGTACATTCTCCTTGCATATACATTTTGTACACATATCTGTCTCGCTCAAATATATATATATATATGTGTGTATACCTGTTACACTTGTGTCATTGCGGATGTGCCAAACATTGTGTATGTATCCTCTCCCAATATTCACCTCTGTATGGATGTATGTACATATGTATGCTGCTTTACTTTCACTTTTATACGCATATTGGTGCGGAAAAATTGTATTCATCATATGTTTATGCATCACGCATGTACATATATATGCACGACACATACATATTACATACATACTTACATGCTTACATTCACATATACATGTTATATGAGATTTTTCTTGTTCCCTGTTTTTTTTTTTTTTTTTTTTTTTTTTTTTTTTCAAAGCTTCTGTAAATGTGCGCCATGTATATTTTAAAAAAAAAAAAAAAATCCCAATTTTAAATTCCCCTTTTAAACAATTTTCAACGAATTATATTTATGCTACTTTTATATATTTGTAAATTTAAGGAAATTGGAGAAATATGGCCACACGAGAAAAATGGGAAATGGGGAAAATCACGCAAAAGGAAAAAAAGCAAAAATGGGAAAAAGGAAAAAAGAGAAATGAAAAAAAGGCAAACATGTAAAAAACGGGCTTCCCAAAAAAAAAGAGAAGAAGCTACTTTATGAATTTATAAAGAGGCAAAAAAAGGTAAAAAAAAGGAATACTTGCAAGTATATATACAATAAGTCTGCTACACAATACTATGCACAATTCTATACGTGAATATAACTCCATGTCTGCAATTTCAAGAAAGCTCATATCCAGCTCAGTTGCCCATTAGGGTTTTCCTGCGTACAAAATTCAAAAGTATTAAAAATGATCAGAGTCCAGATTATGTCCCCCGCATTCTTTTTTTTTTTTTTTTTTTTTTTTTTTTTTTTTTTTGTCATGCCATATCCTGTGATAAAATAACAATTTATACAATTCAATCATAGTCTCTTTTATTAAATTTCCTTTCTCTTCGTTTTTTCTTCTGCTTAATTAGAGTATCCTTATAACATTTTATCTGTTTCATTGTTTGTTTGGTATAACATGACAAAAGTATATGTGTAAATTGTTCATTTACCATGGGTGTGTAAAATAAATAAGTAAAAATAAACATACATATAGACTGTCATATATAACCACACGGTAAAGGTGGATAGTCTTACCTGTTCATCTGTTTTTATTAAGTGAATGAAATCCTTAACTGATGTATATTTTGTTTTTTTTTTGTAATCCTGGGAAAACAGAATTGCCAAGTGTAAGTGCAATAATGGACAAGTGCATACACTGGATCATTCCACATGGGGAATATTTTCCACCATCGTCATGTGCAAAAATGAAGAAAACTATAAGACAAACGATGAGAATCAAACAAATCTAAATTTGAAACATGGATATGTATTCAATACATGCTCAGCATTAAAAAAAAAAAAAAAAAAAAAAAAAAATTATGCTTGGTTCCTACTTCAGCTTCTTTCAAAATTGCCCTTAATTTATCTGCGCAAATTTTGTAGTTGGATATCTGTGATGAAGTTTCTGTATTTTGTAAAAGGGAGGTAATATGTAGACGGAAATGAAAAAAATGAAGAAGTGTGTCTGATAGTGTGACAGTGTGATAGTCTGACAGTGTAATAGTCTGACAGTGTAATAGTCTGACAGTGTAATAGTCTGACAGTGTGATAGTCTGACAGTGTGATAGTGTGATAGTCTGACAGTGTTATAGTGTGATAGTCTGATAGCGATAAACACACTTTGTTAAAAAGAGGTGCAATTAATCAAAGACAGCAACGTGTAAGGCTGTTCAAATTATTAAGCAGCACTTACCTTCGCATTCAATAATGAGTTCATTATGTTTGTTCAGCCTGTTTCTCTGCAATTTTCTGAAATTAATTTGATAAGGAAATGTGAACATGTGTTTTTTGTTTTCTTCTTTCGAGTGTGCTTCTCTCACACTGGAACGTGTTTCTCTCTTTTTATTTTTACTTTAAATTTTCCTTAACCATGGGGGGTATCCATTTTGCTGTGTCAACATTAAATCGAAGTTGTACTTTTGTTTCTGCCTTTAAGTAGTTAGGAAATGGTAAAAGTAAAAAAGTTTGGAGAAATGTGATATATTTTTTTCAAGGTCTATCTTATGAGTGTTTCCCACCCATCGTTATTTAGAAGACATATATTAAGAACTCATATAAAATCTCAAAAAAGATGGTATATATATCTCACTCATCAATGCACGATGGTTGTGTGTATTTCACAAAGAGAATTCAATTTTTGTGAAAATGAAAAAAAAGCACTTTTGTTGGGAAGGAATGTTACAAATGATGTTTTACTTTGTTGACACTTTGTCCTCCTGGACCTGAAGAACGAGATGTAATTTTCTGAATTTGACTAAAGGGAATTTCGAAAGATAACAAAAACTTTTTGCATAGCACTAACATTGTTTTGGAGGGATCAAGCCTACCCCTATTTTGCAATTCTATTTTAAGGGCACCGGTTCGCTCTGATATCTTTTATTTCCTCGCTACTTCATCAAGTTGCTACCTCATATGGTCGCTACTTCATCAAGTTGCTACTTCATCTGGTCGCTACTTCATCAAGTTGCTACTTCATTTGGTCCCTACTTCATTTGGTCCCTACTTCATTTTATCTTATTTTTATTTATTTATTTTGTCATTCTTCACATGTGCTAATCTCATCTGAGTTCCAAATAACTCACGTCAAAATTTATATACTCAGCACAAGCTAATATTTGTCAACCTGAACCGGTACATGCAAAAAAAAAAAAAAAAAAATGGGGGAGTTGAAAAATGGCAGAAAAAGAAGGCTCAAAATGGATATGGGTAATTGTCCCTCGTGTGTAATAAAATTGCAATCGAATTTTATTCATTATTTTGCATCACGTGCCAAAGGTGAGCATAAAATAACATCACATGGTTTTTTAGAAATTCCCACAAAATTCAGAATTGTAAAAAAATGAGAAAAAAGCGAAAAGCCAAATGGCTAATAAGGACCCTGTATTGTGTGGTATAACTTTTTTTCCCCTGTTTGTTTCATTGTTTCATTGTTTCATTGTTTCATTGTTTCATTGTTTCATTGTTTCATTGTTTCATTGTTTCTTTGTTTCATTGTTTGTTTCTTTTTTTCAACTTTGAAATTAGTTTATCGATTTCCTCAACCAGTAGTAGTATCACGACCCAGGCCTCAAGTTACATGTAAGATCTACTGTTCTGTGAGAAGATGAAAAAACAAAAGTTGATCACATGGTTGAATCACTTACAGGGGCGTATACTGAAAGGGAAAGAAAAAAAATTCAACTGAGAGGGGAAAGAAACGGAAAGAAACGGAAAGAAACGGAAAGAAGAAGTGGAAAAAAGTGACGAAGCTGTGCAACAAGGGAAGTGTGATATTGCCTAGGGGATCCCGTAAAATGGGCAAGAGGACAGTATGATGAAGAGGGGTTGTTTAATTTTGCTGAAATTGCTAGTGGTGGTTAACATGGCTGAAGAAATAAAATGTTACAAAAAACTTGTTCCAGAGTTCAGGATCGGACTAAGTAAAAATACGTTGGGGGAAAGGGAAAGCGAGAGACAGGAAATTAGATCCAAAGCACTGAGAAAATTATATGAACGAAAATTAATTCATTATGTAAGTGACATAAAAAATATTGATAATATATTATACAAGAATGAAAATGAGAAAACAATGGACAAACGCAAATCTGTTTATGTAGGAATTGATCTAAATTGTAAATACCTACACATTGGAAATTTAGTGCCATTAATCACATTAAATATTTTACGTAATCACAACACTGATGTTATTGTCCTCCTAGGAGGAAGTACAACAAAGATAGGAGATCCATCGTTCCAACAAACAGAACGGAAAAGAACAATGGATGAGGAAATATCCAAGAACGAAAAGAATATAAAAAGTAGCATTCTACATTTTTTTCTTCATAAAGAAGTAAATGAAAAAGAAATGAATAATATGATTGAGAAAAGTGACTCGTGTGGAGAAGATGAATTTATATTCGAATCTAAAAATAAAGGATCTTTAATAATTGTAAATAACAAGACATGGTATGACAAAACGAATTTAATTGAATTTATAAATTTTGGACAATATTTTTCTATCCATAAATTATTAAAAAAAGATTGCTTTCAAAAGAAATTAGAAAATAATAACTTAAATTTAAAAGATTTAAATTATCTTATTTTACAATCTTTTGATTTTTTCCATCTTTTTAAGAAATATAAAACTTTAATTCAAATTGGTGGATCAGATCAATGGGGAAACGTACAATCAGGTATTGAATTCACTCAGAGCATTTCCAACACACAATTGTATGGATTGACAACTAATTTATTACTTCATAAAAATAATGTGAAGTATAGCAAGTCTTTATTTTATCAAAACAAAAAATTACCCATTTGGATTGATCCACACAATACACCTCCATTTCTATTTTGGAACTTTTTAAGAAATATTGACGATCAACAAGTTGATTCCTATGTTCATATGCTTACTGATTTACATTTAGAAATATGCAAATGGGAACAGCCAAATTGTTCATCTTCAGAACAGGAGCAGAACAATCATATGATGGAACAAAGTCTTTATGATATTCAAATAAATCAAGCGAAAGAAAAACTAGCCAATTTCGTCACATCTTACATCTACGGAGATGAAGCTGTGCATAGAATCCATAAAATGAGCAAACTCATGAAGGAGAAAGAATTCCCTGTAATCAAAAATGTCAATGATTTGAAAGTATTCCCATTTATTCAAATTAACAAAAAAGATCTACATGAAAACATAATAACCATTGTACAAATTTTACGTAAATTGGAAATAGCTGAAACGAATAAAGAGGCCAAGGAAAAGTTGAACCAGCAATGTGTTTTCCTCAACAGAAACCTTGTAAATTCTCCAAATTATCGCTTCACTTTGGATTCCTCTTTCGTCCAAGCCCAAGACGGCACCAACTATGCCATTCTGGGGATGGGCAAAAAGACATACTACTCCATAATTTTAAAGTGATTGGCTGTGGTTGCCGATGTTTTGGATTTGATTACCAATTATTAGCAATGATTAGAAGTGATTACCGATTGTTATTAGTTCATATTTTTTTGTAGGAGAAAATGGGGAAGAATCCAAATCGAAATCCACTATCACATAGAACAGAAGTAGCTGCAGTAAACCATGCCCTGTTATAACTTTATGCAGTGGGAGAACACCATCATATATTGATATGCAAAACCCCATATGGAGAGTCTAAAATGAAAATTAATTCAGGGCAGTTTAACAAGAATGAGAGAATTTATGATCAAGTTTAATTAAAAGGGGTGTAAATATCGAAAAGGTGATGTGTGGTAGATGCAATGGCTGAACCGTAGGCAGATGTAACATACGTACAAAAAAGCACACACACACACACACACACACACGCACACACATATATATACGCTGATGCATGGATGCACAAATTGGATATATCAAAAAGTATAAACGAAGGAGATGCACGCACCCGTTTTCCAGAGACGTCGTGACCATTCTGTTACACAATATTTAAAGCTGCTGTAAGATGTTCCCAATTTCATATTGTTACTCTCCCACGTCTCCTTATCATCTTCTTCGCTTGGGAGGTTTACACATTTTGACAATACAGCCAAATATGAAGCAAAAGAGGAAAAGACAAATAATGATTCCAATGGTTATTGTTACAACTTCATTGTAATTTACATTTCCAGGATCATCTCTTAAATTTGTTGCTGTGGGATGTATATTGAATGCTGGATTTTGTGCTATTTGATTTGCTGACATAAGATTTTGTAAATTCATTTGTGGATATGCCATTGTGTTTGAAGCAACTTGAACACCTCCCATAGACGATGGGGAAACTCCTACAGATGCAACATTTCCATTGATAGGTTGTGACCCTTGCGTAGGAACTGTCAAGGGGTTGGAAGCTGATGGAGCAGATGCTGTAGTTATTGGTGAGGCGTTTGTTGGTGCAGCATTTATCGGTGCAGTGTTCATCGGTGCAGTATTCATAGATGCAGTGGTCGGAGCCATACCGTTACGCATATTGAAAGGTGAACTGACATTTGAATACAAATTTGGTGTGACAATTGTATTAGCAAGTGGGGAATTGTTTGTACCATCAAGATCTAGAGAAAATGGGCCTTGCATATGTTTATGGACACCACCAAGTATTCCATCAACTGCTTTTGAAGCAAACATAGAAAGAGTAGGATTCAATGAATGCTTTATTTTTGTACTCAGTTTACTACTCATTTTGTTAGTTAACTCTATGTTGGAACTCTCCACATCTTTCTTATTTAATAGTGGCACATTTGTACGTTTCTTTTTTATTGTGAAGGAATGCAAATACATGTCAGGATATTTTGTTGTATCATCTTGGGTAGCATCTCCATCATCCCAAGGAATTAGTGATCCCTTTTGTCTTATTTTGAACATTCTTTTTTTTTTTTTTTTTTCTTTTTTCTTCTTTTTTTCGTTATTATTTGTTTGGTTTAGGACTTGATCTTCAGTGAGGTATTCACCAAGAATACCTTCAAATTTTATGCCATCTCCAGTATCATTATTAATACTTTCTTCATTTTTGTATGTATTAATGTTTTTCTCTCGGGCTTCTATCGACTCGAGCTTCTTATTCCTTTGTATTCCATTCGAATTTATTTTACTTCTCAAATGAGAGGTCATTTCCCCTGGTCTAGTCATATCGAAAATATGGAATGTGACTTATGAAACCCGTCTCTTCAAAAAAGCTTTTCTTGTTAAAGCATGTTGCATATGTCAGCATTCCAAGATGTGTAAATGTCTAATGTTAGGGATGGAGAGGAGGTTCTCAATTTGAAATTCTCCCCATGTACGTCCAGCACGTGTATATAACTGTAGTCGTCAGCACTTGGACTCTTGGTAGTATCCCAAAAGTTGTATAATTAAAAAGGAAAACTTGACATATATACACATACATACATACATGCATGCGTACGTACGTACGTACATGTGTTTGTAAGCGCGAATCTTCAATTTTTACAGAAAGGAGTTTCACCCCCTTGGGAGAAAAAGACTGAAAAGGACAAAATTGCACAAAGGGGATCAAACAGGCTGTTATATCAAAAATGGATGGAGATATTAAAAAATTGGGAGCCACAAAAATTAAGCATCTGCACGAACAGTCAGGCAATAAATGTGGAGAAACAAAAATTAAATATCTACATGAACAGTCAGACAACAAATGTGTAGAAACAAAATTTAAGCATCTGCATGAACAGTCAGGCAATAAGTGTTGGGCAACAAAATTTAAGCATCTGCATGAACAGTCAGGCAATAAATGTGAAGCCAAAAACAACCATCTTTAAAAAGTTTGTTCAGTGTAGAATCGAGCATTAGTCATCATTACATTAACATCTCCATATAATTATGCC